GTCTGGCACACACCGGAAGTGATGTCGCCACAGCACTGGGAATGCCAGACCCTCTGGTATTTGGGCAAAAATACCAGAATGTCCTGCAACACGCTGATGTCACTTCTGGTGGACACCAGTAGTGATGTCACCAGCCTCTGCTTCCCCTGCTGCGGATCAGCCGGCAGGTGGGGAGACTTACCAGTGGCGAGGGAGACTTAAGTGGGGGTCTGGCAGCCCGGGGGGGGGCAGCATTTGGGCTGGGATTTGTGAAGCAGGAAGAAAGCAGAGGCTCTGGAGTGTGCCACAGGGACTTCACCTGAAGGGAGCACACCCTTTGCCAGAGCAGCTGAGCAGGCCCTCCTGGCTTCGCCACTCTGTGGTGACCGATGCAAAGGCAGGCAAAGAAACAACTGCAAGGGCAGGTTGGCAAAACACGGGACATCACCTGGGGTATCTTGACAACAGGGATTATTTATTTCTTTACTTACCTCATTTATACCTAGGACTGTTGGTCCCCTGCTATGGTGGGGCTCTAACTCCAGATTTTAATTTTTTATTTTTTAAAAACACCAGTGTTGTTGTCTGTGCCGCTACATCACTTCCTGGGGAAACCCCAATGGCAAGACCATAGACTTACCTGCAATTCCTAGAGCGACCTTACATCACTTCTGGGTTTCCCCTGAAAGTGACATAGCAGCCCAGATGAGATGGCACCCCCCTCCCATGTAACTCCCACCGGTTGCCAACACTATCTATGCCCCACCTTTCACCCCAATGAGGACCCAAAGCAGCTTACGTCGTTCTCCTGTCTTCCATTTTATCCTCGCCACAACCCTGTGAGGTAGTTCAGGCCGAGAGTGTCTGACTGTGGCAATTCGAACCTGGGTCTCCCAGATCCTAGCCTGACACGCTAACCACTACGCCGCATGTCCTTCCCCTCTGGCACCCATCCAGAAGGAGGGCAGGGGCACGCAGCTCGTTTTACTTCAACGATGTCACTGGGCAGTAGAGTTACCAACTCTGGCTTAAGACATTCCTGGAGATTTGGGGCAATGTCTGGGGCGAGCAGAATTTGGGGAGGGAGCTCTGTGGGGATGTGACTCCATACAGGAGGAGGAGGAGGAAGAGGAGGAGGAGGAAGAAGAGGAGGAGGAGGAGACTGGATTTATACCCCGCCCTTCACTACCCAAAGGAGTGTCAGAGCAGTTTACAAACTCCTTTCCCTTCCCCTCCCCACAACAGACACCCTGTGAGGGAGGCGGGGCTGAGAGAGAGCTCTTGACAGAAACTGCTCTTTCTCAAGAACGGCTCTGACAGAACTATGGCTTGCCCAGGGTCATCCAGCAGGTGCAAGTGGAGGAGTGGGGAATCAAACCCGGTTCTCCCAGATTAGAGTCTGCGCACTTAACCACTACACCAAACTGGCTCTCAGGAAGTGATGTGAAAGGCCTCTCTGCCTGTGACCGTGGAGAGCCCCTGCCAGTCTGAGTAGACAATACTGACCTTGATGGACCAAAGGTCTGATTTAGTATAAGGCAGAATAATGTGTTCATGAAAGGGGCATGAACGGCCATGAAAAAAGAGAGGATTCAAAACTTTTTTCCCTGACCCTTTCAAAAGCACTGTTTTCCACCCCAAAACATTTGCAAAGGGACATCTGGCAAAGCAGTTTGGAGCCTTTCCAAGACGTAAACCTGATTTTAGCTCAACAGACAGGCTGACTGTGGTTTTCCTGCTTTTGCGCAGCAACACGGTCTTCCGGAGAATGCGAAAGAAATCCCTTGGGGCTCGGGGACAAAGGACGTTTTCTAATCTGGCTACCGGGATTTGCAGTCTTGAGGCAGGCAGAGACTCCTGCCAGAAGAAAATAGCCTTTACCACTGGGGGGGAGGGGGGAGAGATGATAGTCTAGATTTTTGTGACAAGATTCTAGGGTGGACAAGCCAGGCCGGGAAAGATTCTAGGGTGGACAGGTCTAGGGTGGCCACCAGGTGGGAATGGGGTGGTGGTGGATAGGGTTGCCAGCTCCAGGCTGGGAAACTCCTAGAGATTTGGGGATGGAGCCTGGGGAGGACAGGGACCTCGGTGGGGTACAGTGCAGTCCCACCCTCCAAACCGTCCATTTTCTCCAGGGAATCTGACCTCTGTAGTCTGGGGAGGAGCTGTGATTCCGGGGGATCCCCGGGTCCTACCTGGACGCAGGTGCTTTCCTTTGTCTCCAGTCCTTGCATGAGCCAGTTTCCCTTCTCTCTTTATTCTCCAATTCCCCCCAGATTTACCAGGTTATTGGCAGGGGGCAGGGGTCATTTCCTGCAGGAGCGCACAGGAGTGGAGCTCCGGCAGTAAAGAGCCCAAGGGGCGGGCACATGCAACAAGCCACACCCCCTGCTCCCAGCAGCCCTCAGTCAGAGCAAGAAGCAGCCAGGCCCCCCCCGGTCCAAAACAGTCCATGGCACCTTTATTCAGGTACAAGCTCTCCCTCCTCTGTGAGGATAGATCTGCATGTCCCCCTCCCCAATAGGTAGCAATCTAAAACAGTCCAGTGGAGCCTGAGCGGTGGGTGTTGCCTTCTGACAGACTTCCGGTGATGTCAGGGGGTGTGGCATATGCAAATAAGTTATGCTACTGAGTTATGCTAATGAAATCCTGCACCTCTTTTTCTACGAAATGACCCCTGGCAGCGGGTATGGTTGCCAACTCTGGGTTGGGATATTCTGAGGATGGAGCCTAGGGAGGGTTTTTATTTTAGGGTGGAGCTTAGGGAGGAATTTCCCAGCCCAAAGTTGGCAACTCCCCTGGGGCCTCATCTTGTTCTGGGTGGGAAATTCCTGGAGATTTGGGGGTGGAGCCTGGAGAGGTCAGCAACCCTACTGGAGCACCACCAACTTAAGCAGTCACTTGACACCCCTGGTGGGAAGGGGTTGGCGTACACTTAACTGGCTCGAGGCCCCAGGTGGGAGCGGGGGATCCCCCCGATTTGGCGGGCTCCAGTCCACCTCCGGCCAGCTGGCTGGCAGGGGAAGTCCTGCCCCCAAGACCCAGCACAATGTCCCCAGCATGACAACATCATGCGGAAGTGACATCATCGCTCTGGTGTTGCCACATGGCGACGCTCTACCCTTTTGGGCAAAACTCTATGGTAACCATAGAGTTTTGCCCAAAATACTAGAGCATCACCGCACAGTGTCCGCAGTGTGATGACGTAGCTCTTTCTTTAATCAGTGATTTCAGTTTATTAGAACAGAACACATAACAACACAGAACACACAGAACAACCCCAACTTATAAAAATTAGCAGATAACTCGCATAGTGTTAAAAGTCAGAGCAGCTGCCTCGGCGCCATCTTGGGTCAACCCCAACATATATACAGTTTGGAACTGGCTAAACCACAGCCCTAGAACAGTAAGGTTCAATCGTAAGTGAGCGCTTCGGACCAATAGGGTTTGCTCCCACCGAAAGTCATAGTCTTCCCTGATTGCTCCATTGCACAACGGCAGCCAGTCAGGCTGTTGATTTCAGGATACTGAGAGTCTGTGGAGGTTGTGACTGAAGCTCAGGCTAATTCTACAATTCAGGCTATCTGTATAACACCATACATAACAATCACACTGGGGACATTTTGCGCAGTGATGTCACCGCACCATCTGTGCTCCTGGAGAGCTCCCCCCCACTCCATACCGGGGAGCGAAGAGGACCTGGCGACCCTAGAGGCATCTGAGGCTGGATCTCACCCATCGTGGGTAGCCAGCTTCAAGTCAGTTCTCAAACCCCACCCTCCCTAGGCTCCACCCCCAAATCACTAGGAGTTTCCCAGCCTGGAGTTGGCATCCCCCCCTATGTTCGAGGACTACAGCAACATTTCATGGCATTTTTTAAAAAGTGGAACATAGGGCTGCCAGGTCTGGGTTGGAAAATACCTGGAGACTTTGGGGGTGGATCCGGGAGAGGCCGGGGTTTGGGGAGGGGAGTCCACCCTTCAAGGCAGCTGTTTTCTCCAGGGGAGCTGGTCTCTTGTCAGCTGGAGATCAGCAGTAAAAGCAAGAGATCCCAGGGCCCAGACCCCACCTGGAGGCTGAAGTAACCTGAGCTGCAGTGTTAGGAGAGTCTAGTAACAAATAAATATACACTGCAAAAACCTTTTAACAAACTAATGTCTTCTATTTATGGTCCTTATTGTGCGGCTAACCTTCATGGACGGAGTACTCCTACCATTCTCAAATATGAACGTTAGCTGCACAATGTGTCTTTTGCAGGACCGGCAAAAAGCATCCATACAACTATTAAGAAGGCTGTCCCCCTTTTTGGAAGACTTCATGCAAGGAGAAGTGGGTTTATAATTCTAGAAACTCCCACTGGGGCTTGACTTTTAAAACACTGATGCAAACTTGTCTGGTAGTTAGAGATCTGTATGTACTGAATGTTATTGCTTATTGAATTGTGCGGCTAACATTTATGGACAGAGTATTCCTACCATTCTCAAATACTCCATCCATGAATGTTAGCTGCACAATGTGTCTTTTGCAGGACCGGCAAAAAGCATCCATACAACTATTAAGAAGGCTGTCCCCCTTTTTGGAAGACTTCATGCAAGGAGAAGTGGGTTTATAATTCTAGAAACTCCCACTGGGGCTTGACTTTTAAAACACTGATGCAAACTTGTCTGGTAGTTAGAGATCTGTATGTACTGAATGTTATTGCTTATTGAATGTAATGAATATTTATACCTGACTAGGATGAAATAATGATACACTATGCACTTACTAAATGACGACCATAAATAGAACACATTAGTTTGCTAAAAGGTTTTTGCAGTGAATATTGATTTGTTACTAGACGACCCACCTGGAGGCTGGCAACCCTAGTGGGACGTGGGGAGCATTGGAGAAGCTCTGTTGGCCGTAGGAGCCGATCCTTGGTCTTCAAGGCCCCTGTGACGATCTCACACAAGCTTGGTTCCCTCCACCAAACCCGCCGTGAGAACCTCTGCTCCCGCTCGCTTTGCTTGCTCTCCTTTCAGGCCCCGAAAGCCTCGTGAGGCCCCACTCCTGCACAGACTTCCAGCCGGCGAGCTTCCTGCGGGGTTCGAAGCTCCACGTCCAGTTCCTCCTGTTCACCTCTTCCCATCCCAGCTGTGGTCAGCTGTTGTCGAGCACGGAGGACATCTGGAACTCCAGCTTCAATGCCAGCCTGGCAGCGAGAATTGTCATCCACGGTTTTAGGTATCAAAAACACAGACGGCTTCGGGATCTGGCTAACTCAGAACAGTTTCCCTTCTCCATTTTGTCCTGACAACAACCACCCTGCAAGGTAGATTCGGCTGTGTGACTGGCTCAGGGTCACCCAGCAGGCTTGAATACATACATGAAGCTGCCTTCTGCTGACTCAGACCCTTGGCCCATCCAGGGCAGCCTTGTTTCCTCAGACTGGCAGTGGCTCTACAGGGTCTCAGGCAGAGGTCTTCACATCGCCTACTGCCTGGTCCTTTTAACTGGGGAAGCCAGAGATTGAACCTGGGAGCTTCTGCATGCCAAGCAGAGGCTCTGAGACCATTTCCACAGAAGTGAAATCCCCTGCACTGACGTTTTTAGGAGGAGGCGGAGGATATTGGATTTATACCCCGCCCTTCACTACCCGAAGGAGTCTCAGACCAATTTCCCACTAGCCACTGCTCCGTCTTTGCTCTCCCCCCCCGATTCTACGTGTCAACTTCCCACCACTTGCTGCACTGCCGCATTTTGCCCTGCAGCTTCACCCAGTTTTCCCCGCATCTTCTCAATCTTGTTTTTTGAGGATTGAGAAGTCGAGCACGGAGGACATCCGGAACTCCAGCTTCAATGCCAGCCTGGCAACGAGAATTGTCATCCACGGCTTTAGGTATCAAAAACACAGACGGCTTTGGGATCTTGCTAACTCAGAACAGTTTCCCTTCTCCATTTTGTCCTCACAACAACCACCCTGCAAGGTAGATTCGGCTGTGTGACTGGCTCAGGGTCACCCAGCAGGCTTGAATGCATGCATGAAGCTGCCTTCTGCTGGCTCAGACCCCTGGCCCATCCAGGGCAGCCTTGTCTCCTCAGACTGGCAAACTCCTTTCCCTTCCCTTCCCCTCCCCACAACAGACACCCTGTGAGGTAGGCGGGGCTGAGAGAGCTCTTTCAAGGACTGCTTTTGAGAGAACAGATCTGAAAGAACTTGTAACTGACCCAAGGTCACACCAGCGTGTTATGTGAAGTTTCCCACAGTAGATTTTTCCTCACCAGGCGCAAACTCGAAGTTTTCTCCTTCTTACCCCGCATTTTCGGAATCCCCATTTTTAGTGCTTTCCGAAAATGTGGAGTAAGAAGGAGAAAACTTTGCATTTGTGCCTGGTGATGAAAAATCTACTGTGGAAAATTTCACGTAACACGCAGTTTTAAAACCATCAATGTGGGGAATTTCACTCCTGTGGGAATGGTCTGACACTGAGCCACAGCCCCTCCCTCAAAGCTTCTCTGGCAGAGCAGGGATTTGGACCCGGGTCTCTCAGATTCTAGTTGAACACGCTAACCACCGCACCACACTGGCTATCGGTAGTTCTTGCTACAACTCCAGGCTCTTAGAGAGTATCCCTCAATCCTGATGAGGTCAATCGCCCTGTGGTGTTTTGTGCCCTCCCTTCTTGTAATTTTTTGCAAATTGCAGCACACAGTGTGCTCTGAAGGTGTTGGGGTTATTTTTGACCCTGCCCCCAATTCCACCGAAAGAGGAACTGAAACTAGCATGAACAATCATTGTATTTTCTTAGCCTTCCGATAGCTTCCCCCCTGGTGTCTTTGCTGATGTTCAGTTCCTTTAACAGAAATCCTTAAGACAACATTAAAAGTTGTTCATTTGGACATTAAAAGTTGTTTATTAGAACCCAGCCCGAAAGATCCTGGCTTGCCTGATAGTGCTGTTGTGAGGATGACAGACACAAAGTACTTTGAATGGAAAGATCTGCCAAAGACAATAAGGAACCCTTAGTGTAGAAATATAGCCACACCAATCTGCCCAGGCTCCATCTCCGAGCCTCCAAGAATTTCCCAACCTGGAGTTGGCAACTCCAGCTGTTTAAACTGGTGGCACTCCAACAGGGTTTTTGACCTCCCCAGGCTCCACCCCCAAATCTCCAGGAATTTCCTAATCCGGAAGTGGCAACTCTACTTAGCCACAATGAGACACAATCTACTCACACGCTACTCTACGAGCACATCGTCATCCGTGATATTCACCAAAACCCGTTTTATTCCCATCAAAACGGACGAAAAGAAGGGGTGTAAACCTCTCTGAATAAATAAAACAGCACTGATTTTTCAACTAGTCCAAACTAAAAAGCACTTTACTAGTCCAGCATGGGGAGTGAGTACATGTCAAAGTCTGTAATGAAAGTAAAAAGGGGGGGGGGAGCTGCCAAAAGGGGGGGACCTTTATTTGATTACAGAAATTCAATTAAATGGTCATCTTTCCATTCAACAAACAATACCCACCAAGGGAAGACCATCTACAATTCACAACTATGTTCAAAACTATATATTATATTCACTGAAATACAAAGGAGGGTTAGTGGTCACAACCCAATAGAGTATGTAGACATAGATCCAACAGATTGCGCATAACAACCGACCACAGTTTAAACAAAGAACATATTCAAAAAACCCCACTGTGAAAAGAATAACAGCCGAACGCCTCTCCCAGGTATAAATCAAGCAATTCAATAATCTTCAACAGTGGCTGGTAAAACAGAACCCGATTTCCGCAATAACATAGGCACAGCTCAGAAGCTTCAATGGCATCCTCGGATTCCATCGGCTGTTATTCTTTCCACAGTGGGAGTCTTTTGTTGCAGTTACTTTCTGTTTGGAGGTCTATGGACACTATTTATGTATAGCATTGCAGAAGAGCCTACTGTTGGTTTTGAATATGTTCTTTGTTTAAACTATGTTTAATTGTTATGCGCAATCTGTTGGATCTATGTCTACATACTCTATTGGGTTGTGACCACTAACCCTCCTTTGTATTTCAGTGAATATAATATATAGTTTTGAACATAGTTGTGAATTGTAGATGGTCTTCCCTTGGTGGGTATTGTTTGTTGAATGGAAAGATGACCATTTAATTGAATTTCTGTAATCAAATAAAGGTCCCCCCCTTTTGGCAGCTCCCCCCCCCCTTTTTACTTTCATTACAGACTTTGACATGTACTCACTCCCCATGCTGGACTAGTAAAGTGCTTTTTAGTTTGGACTAGTTGAAAAATCAGTGCTGTTTTATTTATTCAGAGAGGTTTACACCCCTTCTTTTCGTCCGTTTTGATGGGAATAAAACGGGTTTTGGTGAATATCACGGATGACGATGTGCTCGTAGAGTAGCGTGTGAGTGGATTGTGTCTCATTGTGGCTAAGTAGAGTTGCCACTTCCGGATTAGGAAATTCCTGGAGATTTGGGGGTGGAGCCTGGGGAGGTCAAAAACCCTGTTGGAGTGCCACCAGTTTAAACAGCTGGAGTTGCCAACTTTGGTTTTGAATATGTTCTTTGTTTAAACTATGTTTAATTGTTATGCGCAATCTGTTGGATCTATGTCTACATACTCTATTGGGTTGTGACCACTAACCCTCCTTTGTATTTCAGTGAATATAATATATAGTTTTGAACATAGTTGTGAATTGTAGATGGTCTTCCCTTGGTGGGTATTGTTTGTTGAATGGAAAGATGACCATTTAATTGAATTTCTGTAATCAAATAAAGGTCCCCCCCTTTTGGCAGCTCCCCCCCCCTTTTTACTTTCATTACAGACTTTGACATGTACTCACTCCCCATGCTGGACTAGTAAAGTGCTTTTTAGTTTGGACTAGTTGAAAAATCAGTGCTGTTTTATTTATTCAGAGAGGTTTACACCCCTTCTTTTCGTCCGTTTTGATGGGAATAAAACGGGTTTTGGTGAATATCACGGATGACGATGTGCTCGTAGAGTAGCGTGTGAGTAGATTGTGTCTCATTGTGGCTAAGTAGAGTTGCCACTTCCGGATTAGGAAATTCCTGGAGATTTGGGGGTGGAGCCTGGGGAGGTCAAAAACCCTGTTGGAGTGCCACCAGTTTAAACAGCTGGAGTTGCCAACTCCAGGTTGGGAAATTCTTGGAGGCTCGGAGATGGAGCCTGGGCAGATTGGGGTCTGAGGAAGTGAGGGGCCTCATCAGGGTATAATGCCATAGCGTCTGCCCTCCAAAGCTGCCATTTTCTGGAGGGGAAAACAAAAATAACTCCTCAGAGACCCCAAAAAATATATCAATAATCACCAATGCATGAAACGACAGTCTAATTGAAATAAAGAAACATAACAACCACATGTAAATAAGCAGAAATATTCTCTAAATCATTGCGATAATTCCACAAGAGACTACCAGTATATTTACCACAAAATAAAATAGAGCACCAAGCCGTTTACATTGTTTTCCTCTGTGATTTGGATTTTTCCTCGGGCTATTGGGCTCTGTTCCTATAATTGTGGAATTATTGTGATGATTTAGAACACTTCTGTTTAATTACATGTGACCGTTATGATCCTTTATTTCAATTAGACTGTCGTTTCATGCATTGGTGATTATTGATTTTTTTGTCTCTGGGGAGTTATTTTTTTTCTCTGCCTGTGATTCCTCCTCGTTCCTGTTTGTTAAACTGTTTTCTCCAGGGGAACTTATCTCTCTAGTCTGTGGATCAGTGTTCCCTCTAAGCTGTGTTAGTGTGAGCCTAGCTCACAGTTTTTTAGCCTCTGGCTCACACATTTTTGTCTTCGCTCAGGAAGGAGGGCTCCAGTGCAAACTAAGAGCATTGGCTGTAATTCCAGGAGATCCCCAGGTCCCACCTTGAGATTGGCATCTTTACCCTATGCCCATGATATTTGGTAGACTCTTAACTGGCTGAAGGCATCTGAGAATGGGCCTCTTCCACTGGGGACAGTCAGTTTCAAGCCCTTTCTTTTGCGGGATGCCAACCTTGCAGCTGCAGCTTTTCCAACTTGGAAAGATTTATCTTCATGTGCCGGATCGTGTCTCCTCAGGGCACTGGGCACAAAGCCCTCCTGGATCGATGGGCTAATCGGGGCCTTGCTGGAAGCAGCCCCTGCCAACGTGATTGCAGTGGACTGGGTCCACGGGTCCACCGCCTCCTATAACACTGCTGTGGAAAACGTCACTGAGCTGGGCCTGGAAATCTCCGCCTTCATCCAGAAGTTGCTGGTAAGTGGAAATGCATTTCCCAAGTCTGGCAAACGGCAGGCCTCAGATCCTTTGCCTGATGGTGGAGACGGAGGAAGAGAGAGAAACCTCCAGTTTTGGTGCCATGACTGAGAAGGCCCTGTCTCAGGTTGCCTCTCATCTAGCTTCTTGACGCAGGGGCACCTGAAACAGAGCCTCCGAAGATGACCAGAGTGGATGGGTAGGTTCGTATGGGAGGTGGTGGTTCTTAAGGTATGCTGTCCCCAAGCCGTATGGGGCTTCTCCCATTGTATTGGGCACAGACACTGCTGTGCTTTTCTCCACGCTTTTAAAATAAAACAGGTCTTATAGCACCTTAAAGACTGACAGGAGCTTTTGTGAATCACAGCTCACTACATCAGATGCATGCCTTTGTTAGGCACGTGGTTTGTAGTCCACAAAATCTTTTGTTAGGGTAAAATTTTGTTCGTTTTTTAAGGTGCCCGAAATCTCTTGCTTAGTTTTGCTGCAGCAGGCCAGCATGGCTATCCCGGGAATTATTTCCTTGTTTTTGTAACCATCGGATTGACTACTGTTATGTGTTCTAAATGGGGCGGCCCTTGAAGACCACTCAAGCGTGACAAGGGGCCATAGCAGGAGATCTCATCTCCCTAATTCCCAGGCATGCAGGGGCCCAATTTGGATCAGGACTGTAGTACATGGGGAGAGGGGGCTCATGAATCATTTTTTTTCTAAACAAAGGAATCATTTTTTAAAAAAAATAATAATCTTCATATATATGTATATATAAGTTCTATCTTGGAACAAAATCTTGTTTTGACTTAAGAACATAAGAGAAGCCAATGTTGGATCAGGCCAAAGGCCCATCCAGTCCAACACTCTGTGTCACACAGTGGCCAAAAACACCAGGTGCCATCAGGAGGTCCACCGGTGGGGCCGGTACACGAGAAGTCCCCCCCCCCAAGCACTTGTGCCACAAGACTCTCCTTTAGCCTTGGTGCAGAAGACTGACACTCTAACTCAGGGTTTCCCCAACCTTTTGAGCCTGTGGGCACCTTTGGCATTCTGACAAATGGCCGCCGCAGAAGGCAGAGCCCACCACACAGGGGGAGCCCAAGCGCAGGGGAGATGAGGGGTGATTTCAAAAGAATCGTTCTTCAGAGGCCAGTCAGAAGCCCTGCTCGGTAAAAGCCCCACCCACTTTCTCAAAGCACTTGGTGGGTGTCAGGAGAGGTGTCAGGAGGCACTAGGCCTGCCATTCCCCCTCTGGGGGCAAGGGGGTTGTCTGCTTTCAGGGCCCCCAATTCGCCAGCCAAGATCCAGCCGGTGTGGGGGGGATCCCTGCCCCCAAAGTGCTACGTTTGCACCAACATGCCCTGCGCGATGACATCACCTGGAGGTGATGTCTTGACAGGGCACATGTTGCGGGAAGATGCTCTGTCATTCGAGGGAAAACTCTATGGTTTTCCCTCAGACAATAGAGGCCCCGCTCACAACGTGGCCTGCGCGATGACGTCACTTCTGGGTGGTGTCATTGCAGTGTGCACACCGAAGATATCCCAAACTGGGATAAGGACACACACACCCCGCCAGCAGCCAGGTAAGACCCAGCAACCCTAGTACCATGTTGGGGACCCCTGCTCTAACTGTTCTGAAATGATATGCTTCGGGGGAGCAAGGCCTTTGGGAAGGAAATGCTCAAATTGCAGGAATGATTCCTGGCTATCTGACTCTTCAGGCCTTGGGAGTACCAGAGACATCCATCCACCTGATTGGGGTGAGCCTGGGTGCCCACGTCGGGGGTCTGGTGGGACAGTTCTACAAAGGCCGCCTTGGAAGGATTACTGGTAAGGAAAAATGAGCAGCTCAAATGGTAGTCAGCTGGCCTACAGTTGCCAGGTTTGAGTTGGAAGATACCCGGAGACTTTGGGGGTGGGTCCAGGAGAGGGCGGGGTTTGGGGAGGGGAGGGGCCTTAGCATGGTACAATGCCACAGAGTCCACCCTCTACAGCATCCATTTTCTCCAGGGGAGCTGATCTCTGTCAGCGGGAGATCTCCAGGCCCCACCTGGAGGCTGGCAACTCTAAGCTGGCCAGTCCCTAGGGTTGAAGCCAAAAATGAGAGATCACGGGAGGAAGTGGAATTCCAAAAACAACATCCATGACAAAAGTAATGAAGAGTCAATAAAGATATGTTGCAAAAACACTTACTGTAGTAATTCTGTAGCAAATTTTCTTCTGTTATCGCTCACACGCAACAAATACTGCGCAATGTAAACAATTCGTTTCACAATATTTGCTTTATCTGAGCGTGTAACAATCACAGTTCTTATCACTAAAAAGAAGAAGATACGCATTCAATTATAAATGTAGCTTAAAGAATCATAATAAACCATTACACTCAAAACTGTCACTTACATTACTACTTATCAACTCTTGAAAGGAAACATTCCATGTTGACTCTCTAATAACAGAACCCAAAGTTGTCACAACGTATTAGCTGGATTCTAGAAGCCAAATGTAAAGTCTCCACTGCTAATTGCCACGGTCTGCCTATACAAACAGCATTTAAAGTGCTAGTGTATCCATGTATGTTTTTTTTTTATAAAACCCCAACTGTAAAATGCCATCTATAGTATTACTTTCACATATTAACAGTCTATATAAACATCAGAACCTTTTTTATTCAGTGTCAATCCTTAGCAACTGTGGCTGGGCATTATAACCGGGGTCATTTTATAGAAAAAGAGGTGCAGGAGCTCATTAGCATAACTTATTTGCATATGCCGCACCCCCTGACATCACCGGAAGTGTGTCAGAAGGCAACACCCACCGCTCAGGCTCCACTGGACTGTTTTGGATTGCTAGTTATTGG